GTCACAGCACGCGGTGTGAATCATTGGCTGAATGGCGCGTGCATTGTTTACATAAGACATAACTTCTTCGGAGAGAATGCTGCATTTTAGTCATTTTAATACCCATTTACACTAAATCGGTAATAATTTTTAACTACAAATACGTCAAACGCCTTTATTTATTTTTCCAATATATACAAAAAATGTTTTAAAATTTAATTTGTCGCAGGAAAAAAGTTAATATTTCTAGTTCATTAAGCCGCATCAATGTCATCCTTATCAGTGATTGTCGCGGCCAAGCAAATATTCACTGCGGATCAGTGTGGGCCGAATGGTGTCATTAAAATCAATGACTTCAAACGTCATTATGTATGTAGGCCTAGTTCTAGTTAGACTGGATAAACTAGTCTAAATGACGCTAGGCTTCTATAGTCTATTAATTATACATTTCTATTGACTTGCATATGTATAAATACATATATCCAAGTCCATAGACGTCATGGGTGGAAAAATTGTGTTTCACGTGTTGATGTGTTTACCTTTTTCCTTTCGGAAGGGGAGATAACTACAAACTCGTTTCTTGTCGCTCGAGTTATGCCACATAGGATAATCGAGACACTATAGCAACAATGGGCCACGAGGTATTTCTGGTCACTCGAGTCTAATGATAGCTGTCGTAGGCTGATTTTATACTGAGTCTGGATAATCAAGACACTATTACGACCATGGGCCACGTGCAGAATTTTTTTTTTTGATTTTTTCTATTTCACTTATTTTTTTTTTTTAATTAAAATGTTATTTTTTTTATACATTTTTTTAATCTTAAATATTTTTTGTATATAGATTTTTTTTTCTTAAATTTTAAAAAGATTTTTTTTTCTTTTTAATTTAAAAAGATTTTTTTTCTTTTTAATTTAAAAAGATTTTTTTTTTCTTTTTAATTTAAAAAGATTTTTTTTTTCTAAAATTTTAAAAAGATTTTTTTTTTATTTTGTAAAACAAAAGAAAAAAAAAATGTTTCTTTTTTTTTACTTTTATTTTTTATGATTTTAAATGAAATACAAAAAATAACCCCAAAAACGCTATTGCGACCATGGGCCACCATAGATTAGGTCAACCATATTATTGAAAATAATGCTTCTCTAGTCTAAAACAATTTGTAATAAAACATTGATATTTATTATAGGGATTATTCAATATTAATTATTGAAGGTACATCAGCTTTTGTACCGTACTCTTACGGGCAATTTTAATTACAAAAAATTTTCAACTTTCCCCCCCAAAAAAAGGCAAAACATTCCTTAATTTTTGTTTATTTTTTTTTACCTTCAATATCATGATAAAAACCTAAAATTTGAAAATTGTTGGAATCATTTTTGGAAGGTGTAAGCTATACACAAAACTATTTCGCAGTTTTCACGGCTTTTTATACACATCATTAGAAAAAATGGTTCTCTAAAACTATTCAAGATAATGACCTGAAATTTGCAGGGATTATTCCTGAAGATGTCAGCTATACATGCAATTATCAAACATATTCTTCTGGGCAATTGTGAACCAACAAAACAACATTTGAATATTCAAAAACTGAATTTCTTCATTTTCGGCCTTTTTTCTTATGCTTAGTGATATTCCAGAAAATGGTTCTCTAAAACTGTTAATGATAAAGACCTGCAATTTATAGGGATTGATCCTGAAGGTATAAGCTAGGCATGTAATGGTCAAACATATTCTTCCAGTGATTTTGAACCAAAAATAAACCATGGTGAAACTTCATCTCTGAATTTCTCATTTTCCATTTTTTTTACGTTCGATGACATTCAAAAAAATCGTTCTCTAAAACTAATAAAGATAAAGAACTGAAATTTGGAGGGATTATTCTTGAAGGTGTAAACTATACATGGTGGCTTTTCCATAACTCTGTAACAAATAGATTTTTTTTGTATGTCTATGAAGTATGGTGACAAAAAACGAAAATTGATGAACTCACCGTCAAGTTCTGTAAAACGTAAAATAATCGTTGTTCATTAAAAAAAACCCACATAGCTGCATAGACCATTGACTTAGGAATATGTAAAAACTAAATTTACACTCATAGATTGATAAACTGCCACAAATGATTTTTTTTTCATCCGGGTAGGGGGTGAGGATTTTACAACATGTAATATTATTAGGTTGTAGAGACTTGAAATTTGGCATGTAGGTTAGCCTGTACAGCCTTAATAAGCTGTCCAAATTTCATTTAGTTATCTTTACTCAATCAAAAGTTATAGTCAAAAGTGTGTTTTCGACTAGCACGTCCCCTTAACTTTGACAGTAATTATCAAAAATTGTTGAAAATCAATAGGATTCTTCGTCTCATGACCTCAAACATTGCGTATAAATTTGAAGTCAATCGGATATTAACTTTGGCCTCTAGAGCGTCCACAAGATTTTTTGAAGTGATTAAGGGCCATAATTATCGGGAATCGCTGAAAATCAATAGGCTTCTTCGTCTCATGACCTTAAACTCTGATATCTGATATCAACTTTAGCCTCTAGAGCGTCCACAATTGCGGACGGACCGACAGATGAGGGCGACGACAATATACGACCACATTTCAATGTAGGGTTGGTGGAAAATATCGACATTGATGATAATCGTCGGTAAGCGTTTTGAAAATCGTTTATCGATACAGTTTAAAATATCGATTATCGCGCAATTATAGGTACTTCACTTGTAAGAAGAAGTCCATAAAAATAATCCTTATCACTGTATTCTTGAACTGTAATTAAACAGAAAAATCATAATAAAACACACATGTTTTGTTTTTTCACGCGAGACGGCACCGGTGAGAAATGTTGGCTGCTTATGTCATGATGAGGGCCAATGGTTTCACGTAACATTCAGTTGTGCCCCTTATTTTAACTCTTCATTTCTTTCGTCTTCTCTGTTTCTACGTCAAACATGTACTTTCCCTTTATTATTTTATCAAGGAATTTGTGAAGATATGTCTGAAGAGGAAATAACTACATTTTACACATTATTATTCAGGTCATAAGCGACAAAGATATTGCGAGCGGTGGCAGTTCTGTCTTCCAAACAAAGTTGATCGAGTTTCTTTCTATACCTTGGTTTTGCTATTGAATGCTATTATTTTATTGTCAAATGTCAAATAAATGAAAAAAATTCAACATGTGTACAGAATACACAAAAACACATACTTATGGAAAAAACAGCTACTTATTTATTTGGGCGACGTTTCGAAGAGTATTCTCTCAACGTTATCAAGCTAATACAGTAATGCAAGAATTATGAGATCAATATATACAGAAAAACTATAACAACAATTCATGAAACCATACAGGACAACAACAAGATCAAAGGGGTTTATTCTACAAAAAACTAATTAAGTGTTAAGTGAAGCCATTGAGTATAGTTTAAGCAATTAAGTAGCTATGATGATAGATGCAATACTACCAACAGTATAGTACCTACAATACAATTATGATATACCATGGTTTGTTTAGATAATGGTAATTAACTTCATTTATCTGTGTGATTAAATGTACAATTAGACTAGAATAAACCATAAGTTGTAATAAATCTAAGAAATAGAGTGGATATAACTGATAAGTTGATAATAATATTAGAAAAATGAAAAAAATAAAACTAATAAAAAATGAAGAATTTAGGTGTATTTGATAAGTTCATCATAAGCACTAGGCAGGAATATCCCTGTGTCGCGGTTGAGGTCTGGACTGTTTTTTTTCATTTGTATGGCCTCAATAATTTTGCGGGTTTTTTCTATCGGAAGGTTGGCTGCCAGGGTTCTATACGTTTTAATTCTGTGTCCTGGGTTGGATTGTGTGTGTTGGGCCACACCTGAATTGGTAGTAGAGGACTTGGATTTTTGCTGACTGATTCTCTTGTCTAAAGGCTGTCGAGTTTCTCCGATGTATTTTTTGTCACATGTGCAGGTGATGTCATAAACACATTCTTTTGGGTTCGGTTGTTTGGTTGGGGGAAGTTTGCCACTGGCCTTCAGGAGATCTTTGAGAGTTCTTCCTTTAGAAAATGTTATCTGGATGCCTGTTGGGGTTAGGAGTCTTCTGAGGTGGTATGATAGTTTGCCTTGAAAAGGTATTGTTATTCTCACTGGTGGTTGATCTGGTTTAGGTTTGCTTGTATCTGTAGGAGGGTTGGTGGTGGCTTTGATGATTTTTTGCACTAATTGTCGGGGGTAGTTATTGAAGTTGGTTAGCAATGTTTCAATGTGATCAAGTTCTGCTCTGATGAAGTATTTGTCGCAGATGTTCACGGCTCTGCGTACTAAAGTGGATACAGTAGACTTCAAATATATATTTAGCTATATATAAGAAAGTAGCCATAATATAGGAACTTTAATTGTATTCTGTATTATATTACCGTTTGTATATATCATCTCATATTGACTTTGTATATAACAATTGCATATAAATAAATAAAAAATAAAAAAAAAAAAACAAAAAAAAAAACAGAAGAATACTCTTCGAAACGTCGCCCAAATAAATAAGTAGCTGTTTTTTTCCATAAGTATGTGTTTTTGTGTATTGCTCTATCCAGTTACTAAATGCCTCTAAAAGATTATGTGTACAGAATGATATCACAACATAAACTTGCATATAATTCGTTATTCATGTACAAATTATGATTTTTTCAAACCAATTTTAAGTCAAAATAATTTGCAGATATTATCGATTAATGATCGGCGGTTGGTTGGTGATAATCGATACTTGAAACAGGATCGATTGCCAGCCCTATTTCAATGTGGGTGCATAAAAAAAGGACACTAAATATAAATCTGTATTTTAATCAGTTTGCCTTATCACTTTTTCTAGATTTTGCATGGTTATCTCACGGACAAGTTCTTAAGTTCTTTGAAATTTTAATTTGATGGCATTTGAATTAATTGACAGGTAAGTTCTCCAAATCGTCAATTTCACTAATAATTACTCTGAAATAAGAGCCCCGGTTTCAACTGATTAGTTACTCAATATACCTTTTCAAATTCCAGTTTGATGGGATTAATAAATTTCTCCGAGATAAAGTTGGCTGCTTCTTGACCTAATTTCATAGCTTCGGCTACTGTTTCTACTCCAAATCTACACATAACAGAATCTGTATCACCATATATAACCTATAATAATAAAGGCAGTATCATACAGATATTTCTATATTTTTAAAAAAATTATTTTTTTCCCTAGAACAATTGATTCACTTCTAAAACCTAAATGCTTAAAGGACAATATTGGTGTCATTATCACATGTGATAGAACTGGTTAAACACGTTCCAAATATTATTTTAACACAGAGATCATTGTAACAATAGATGAGTGATGAAGGATTCAACAAACGGGGGGGGGGGGGGGGGGGGGGGGGGGGGAGAGAGAGAGAGATTTTAACGTTCACTTGACACAGACTAGGTCATTTCGGGACTAACATATGGTTTAATTTTATTTCAATAATTCGCTTGTGCATAGGGGTCTTTAGCAGTGGGAGGAAACCGGAGGACCCGGAGAAAACCCACAAGGCAAACGGAAGGAAAACACGGGTTATCCTTCTATATAACTGACTGAAGTGACAAGTGATAACAGATACATGGGCAAATTTTTTCTCACTAATAATTTCTTAGAAGACCAAAAGTTCTTGTGTCATACTGTGAGTGAATATCTGACAATTCAAATAAGAAATTGACTGTTACTAAATAAGAGAAAACGAAAAAAATAGGACCAGCGGCTGCCAGGCAGGATACGCCCACATTTTGCAAGAGATGGATAGAGATATAGAGAACAAGGAAAAAATAAACGTGTTTTTTTGTACAATCAGGGGCAATAATCAAAAAAGTTACGGTCTGAAATGCACAAATCGGATAAAAATTGTGACCTAGAGGGTCCATAACCTTCGTATTACATACTTTTACAAAATTTGGACACAAAGAGCAGCCATTTTGTCGAGCAGTTTCATTTCGATTTTCCCAAAATTCGAATTTAACCTTCATTATGGTGGAATGGTGATATAATTAAACGTTTTTTTAAATTGGAAAAAAAAATGTGACCTCTCGACAATCCGCAAGTAAAAATGCGATTTTTCGAACAATCAGCGACCATAATCCAGGAAGTTACGTTCGGATATGCACGATTATCACAAGGAACCAAGATCCAAGTGTGTAACGGTAATATATTCACAATATGTTACATCTACAGGTACATAAGCTAAAAAGGTGACTTTTTGTATAATCAGGGGCCATAATTGCGGGCATAAGGTATAAAGAATAAGTCTAAAAAAGTTTTCAAGACGATCGATTAAGAATTGTGGGCTGTGACACACACAGACACACAAAAAGAAAATGGGCGTGGCACTGCCCCTGGGAGAGAGAGAGAAATGGGGTTTAGTGTCCACTCGACACAAACTAGGTCATTTCGGGTCTAACACATGGTTCAATTTTATTTCAATAATTCGCTTGCGCGTAGGGGTCTTTAGCAGTGGGAGGAAACCGGAGGACCTGGAGAAAATCCACGAGGTTGGACAGACCTTACTCCTTGTCACGTACAACCAGGGATTCGAATCCACGCCAGTTGACTCAATGACAGGTCTTATGATACAGTGGGCACGTGCTAACTACTCGACCATCCAACCCCCCACTGCCCCTGGGCATTCACTACAAACAATAGGGATGTTCCTTAGGATAGAAGGAATAATTATGCAAAGTTTCAAGGTGATATGTTAAGAAATGCGGTGTGTAGATGACAAACAAATAAATACAAGGTGACACACAGACACACAAAAAGAGAATGGGCATGGCTCTGCGACTGGGGGTTGGGCATGGACCCAAACGATAGGGATGTTCCTTAGGGTACAGAGAATAAGTATGCAAAGTTTCAAGATGATACGTTAAGAAATGCGGTCTGTAGACGACAAACAAATACAAGAAATAGGCATGGCTCTACTCTGCCCCTTGGGGTTGGGCATGCACCCCAAACGATAGGGATGTTCCTTAGGGTACAAAGAATAAGTATGCAAAGTTTCAAGATGATACATTAAGAAATGCGGCCTGTGGATGACAAACAAACATGTCCTCTTGAGAAAATTTTTAAAATTCAACTTTAAATCGTGCACTTTGAAGACATTTGGATGGTAAATGCCTTGATTAAAAATAAACCTGATGCTGCAAATTCCCGCAAAAATACAAAACAAAAACAGATAAAAAAAATTATTTTAAAATTTATTTGTTTAAACAGAGTCTGCCTTTTTTTTAGTTAAAGGGACTATCCTGAATTGAACAGAGTCTCAAAATTAAAAGTCTGAGTACGTATGAAAGTTAAGCGCCAAAATATAAAGAAATGGTGTATTTACCCGGTGTCAAAATTTCAGCTCAAAATATTGAGTCATTTGGACGTGAACGTCAAAACTGCTTATCCGGACACGTAACCCTTTTAAGATTTCGGGTCAATTTTTCCCTTGGGTGACCTGATAATCGATTCCCGTTTCTTTAGAGGTTTATACTGTGAATGACCCATGTGCTGTACTTGATAATGAAAGGTAAATTTCACCTACACATTTTTTTTATAAAATAAAAGGCTGGTTTTATCCAGACACCGCATAATACAGCTTTGGGCATCGGTCCCCAATTACAGATGAAGACTGACGGTTTTAAGTTGTTTGAAAACGTATCAAATATATTGAGTTAGTTGTCGTGAACATCATCGCGTTGAACAATATTTTTAACGGTCGCCATTTTCTATTTTTGTACAGAATGCCGGATGTGTGTTTTACTTTCACTTTTTCTCGGGATAGTTCGTACCACAGTATTTATATGGATATCACTGATGAACAAAAAATATTAGAGCCACAGAAAATGACAATATATAAATTATAATAGAAACTGTGTCGTTACAAATAAGCGCAGTTTATAAAAGTTGTGAATCAACCAACGCTAACTATCACAGGTGAAACAAAACGACCGATCGAGTCGGTCGAGTAATACTTTTCTGCAATTTCATTGGACATTAATTCCCAACAACCATAACTCTAGAAATTATTGACGGAAATTGTTGAAATTCAATAGATCTCTGTTTCACAAATTTAAATGATGCAGGGAATATTTTACTTTTTTACATTTGATTAGCAGTTTCCAGAAAAATTGTGTAAGAATGCTAATCAATTGTATAATTGAGTAGCAAAATTTACCAATTGATTAGCAGTTTTTTAGTATGTCATAGAATTCTTATTTCACATAATTATGTGACAATAATAACAATACCCATATTATTTGTATTACCAAACTGTTGTTTATATTTATATATAAAATAACCAGCGACTGCCAGGCAGGATACGCCCACATTTTCCTACAATCAAGGGCCATAATTCAGGAAATTACAATTCGATATGCGTGAATATCGAAAGGAACCAAGATCTTTGGGTTATAAACTTACATTTCAAGTTTCAACAAAATCGGATAAAAATTGTGACCTCTATAGTGTCCACAACCTTGATATACCATATTTTTACGCTATTTAAGAACGAACGGCGGCCATTTTGTCTGTCAATTTTGGGCCGATTTTCACGAAATTCAAGTCAGCCGTCCTTAGGGTGTAACGGTGATATAATAATAGTTTTTTAAATCGGATAAATATTATGACCTATAGGGTCCACAAGCTAAAAACGTGATTTTTCGTACAATCAGGGGCCATAATTCAGGAAGTTACGGTCCAATATGCGCGAATATCAAAAGGAACCAAGATCTTTGGGTTATAAACTTACATTTCAAGTTTCAACAAAATTGGAAAAAAATTGTGACCTCTATAGTGTCCACAACCTTGATATACCATACTTTTACGCTATTTGAGAATGAACGGCGGCCATTTTGTCTGTCAATATTGGGCCGATTTTCACGAAATTCAATATCAGCCATCCTTAGGGTGTAACGGTGATATAATTGAACGTTTTTTTTTAAATCGGATAAAAATTATGAACTCTATAGGGTCCACAAGCTAAAAACACGATTTTTGGTACAATCAGGGGCCATAATTCAGGAAGTTACGGTACGATATGCGCGAATATCGAAAGGAACCGGGATCTTTGGATTATCAACGTAGATTTCAAGTTTCAACAAAATCGGATAAAAATTGTGACCTCTATAGTGTCCACAACATTGATATACCATATTTTTACGCTATTTGAGAACGAACGGCGGCCATTTTGTCTGTCAATTTCGGGCCAATTTTCACGAAATTTGAACTCAACCAACCTTAGGGTGTAACGGTGATATAATTGAACGTTTTTTTTAAATCGGATAAAAATTATGACCTCTATAGGGTCCACAAGCTAAAAACACGATTTTTGGTACAATCAGGGGCCATAATTCAGGAAGTTATGGTCCGATATGCGCGAATATCGAAAGGAACCAAGATCTTTGGATTATCAACTAAGATTTCAAGTTTCAACAAAATCGGATAAAAATTGTGACCTCTATAGTGTCCACAAGCTAAAAACGTGATTTTTCGTACAAACAGGGGCCATAATCCATGAAGTTTCGATCCGATACATGCCAATATCTAAAGGAACCAAGATCTTTTGGAGATAAACCTATATTTCAAGTTTCGTCAAAATCGGATAAGAATTGTGACCTGTAGAGTGTCCACAAACAAATTGTGGACGGACGTCCGGATGGACAGGGACGACGGCATAATACGTCCACATGAAAATGTGGGCATATAAAAACGTGATTTTTCGTACAAACAGGGGCCATAATCCATGAAGTTTCGATCCGATACATGCCAATATTGAAAGGAACCAAGATCTTTTGGAGATAAACTTATATTTCAAGTTTTGTCAAAATCGGATAAGAATTGTGACCTGTAGAGTGTCCACAAACAAATTGTGGACGGACGGACAGGGGCTACGGCATAATACGTCCACATGAAAATGTGGGCGTATAAAAATTGTGACCTCTATAGGGTCCACAACCTTGATATACCATATTTTTACGCTATTTGAGAACGAACGGCGGCCATTTTGTCTGTCAATTTTGGGCCGATTTTCACGAAATTTGAACTTAGTAGTCCTTAGGGTATAACAGTGATATAATAATATGTTTTTTTTAAATCGGATAAAAATTATGACTTCTATAGGGTCCAA